TTTTTTTTTTAAGCTGAAAGGCTCGCTTAAAAAAAGAAAATGTGCAGCTTTTGGTCAGAATAAACTATTTCTGTAGTTTTCAAATGGAACTAGCTGTGTTATCCCCTCATCTTGTCCTGCTGATGTGTTCCACCATAGAGCAGTTCATTACAGAGTTTCGTTATAACTTGACAATGTTTCGGCTTGTTGCATATTTCATTGTGGTTTCAGTTAAGTATTTCTACAGCTTTTTAGATTTGATCCTGCTGGCAAAACACACCTGAAGGGAGTGAGCTCCAGCCATTAGACCAATTGGATGGGAAATATTTGAATACTGACTTCTATAATTGGTAGAACCTACAAATGTATCAGGAGGATTCTGTAAAAAAAAGTAGGTTATACTGCACTGCACCGCTCTAGCGAGAAACAAACCATCAGATGTCTAAATAGTTTATACCTACAACTTTCACTACATTTTATACACACAGCAGCCATGTTTGAAATTTAACTGACCTCCAGCTTTTTGAAATCTTATATCAGGGGTGTTTTTTTTTCTCATTCAACGTGCCTATGGTTAAACTTGGAAAATCCAGAGGCAAGGAACACAGAGAATATATCATGAGTTTACCATGCAAAGCAAACAGATGACCCACGCCGACAGAGAACTGAGGCAGCCCAGACAGACGCGTATTGTAATGTGCATGGCCCAAATATAGTTTTGTGAGCCGTGCGTATGAAAATAGTCAGTGTTTTTTAAAAGTTGTTTACACATTTTCTTATAACCAGATAGAACAGCAGTGTAACATGAATAGACTGCAGTCAAGTACTCAAATACTCTGATCAGGACCACTACGCAACACCAGGTCAGAGGCCCAATCACAACCTCCTTTTTTCTGGAGATGTAATAAATCGAAAACTGTTTTATGCTATTGCAGAATACTATTTTTTTCTAAAGAACACAAGATGAGATCATAAATAATCCCCTTTCTGCAGCCTCACAAGAAAAAGATTAAATGGGGAGTAAAACCTGACCTGTTGAGACTGTGTGACTTTAGCCTTGTTAATAACTCCTGGTAAATTGAACCGCTGCTGATTCTGCAGTCGTAACCCAGCCCCTGTGTGTGTGTGCGCGTCAGTTTGCTGTGGGTGTCGGTATTGTAGGTGGAAGAGGAAAAAAATAAAGGAAGAGTGAAGGCAGCTTCCTCTCTCCTGGCTTTCAGCTCTGTCTGCCTATTGTCTGCCATATCTGCCCATCTATCTTCACATTTTTGAATTTGTGGCTCCGCTGTCTGGATCCCCGCCACCTTTTGTTTGTTAGCTTTATGAAAAAGTCGGTGTCTCGAAAGAGCTGCTTTTGTTTGTCTAGAAAAAGCCTGACGAGGAGAAGCACCGCTATATAGTAGCCAGAAGCTTGCAGAGATTGTTTTGTCTGCCAATGATAATTTGTTGGCTTCTTTCTCTGTGTGAGGTTGTCATGGTGAAACAAAGACTCTGGTTTTCATTTCCTATATATATGATATACACACAAACACTGTGGGGAATTGTTCATTCAGTTATTCGCCCGCAGCAACAGGAACTCATTACAGAAGTTAGACAGATGTGATCTAAATTTATGGTAAACTGGGTAGAAAAATATCTGAAACTAGTGGAGAACAGGAGATGGTATCTATATGATGTTATATGCACTGTCGCTTGGCACAGAGAATTTATGCAAGTAGAAGCAATCCGCAATTTGCATCTCGGTCTGACACCTTTGCTGAACATGCTCGTTTTCTGCCTTTGTTTTACAGTTGTGAATACACTCCCATTAACCATGTCATTTCTGGCAGCACTTGAACCACTATCTAGTCTGCTAATCTGGAGAACTAATTATGGTCCCTCTTTGTCTCTTTCAGAAATCGAGCAATAGCCGATTATCTACGATCCAATGGATATGAAGAGGCATATTCCACTTTCAAGAAGGAAGCGGAATTAGATAATGTGAGTAGATTAAATAACGGACACACACGCATCCGCCTGGAAAGCACACCACTTTATACTAGCAGTATGCCTTGATTCCCCATTTTTCCTCATTCTAGTCACATGTTCTGAAGTGCAACCTGGAGCACCTGCACCCAATTAGTGTGCCGTCTGAGGGGGGGTGTACAGTGGGGTTTTAGTTGCAAATCGTGAGAGAAGTTTTTATTCATCAGAAACCTATGGTTGAAGATATAAAAATCATTGAATGAAAAAAATCAAATCAAATCCTAGTAGTTTTTTAGTAGAGGCAACATCTCAACTAAAGAGATCAATTACTACATAATACCCTGTTTAAATTTTTTATTTTTTGACAGGTTCTTTGGCTTCTATGTGAATAAGATGATTATCATTACAGAAGCAGAATTATCTCGTTGAAACGGAACTCATTTCCATACAGCCTTCCTGTTATTTCCTGAAAGTCTTGCTCTCTCTTACTTTCTTGCAGCCCAATGATAATAAATGGTTTGGTGTTAAGTGGCTTCTTGCCTACTTTTGTCATTCCTCTTATTTTGTCCAAAACACAGTAAGGAAAAATTAGATTGAACATTCTTATATTATTCTGTTGTTTCCTTTTTTCCCTCTCTTGAATTCAAATGATATTTCTAAAAGTATTAAATATGATTGTTATGAAAATAAGCAAACAGTGAAGTTTCTTCATTAAAATGACAAAAATCACATTTTATTAAGAGCAAAATGAGAAATTCTAAGTATCCCTTTAAATTTCTAAATGACCGTCAGTGATCTGCTGTTTTTTTTTGCATTTAAAAGTTTAATTCCCTTTGTCATATATGTAAAAGATTGTATAGTTTTTGCAACACATTGCTTTTACACAAAAGGTTGTAGTAAACATTGAAAACAACTTAAATTATGATGTACCCTGTCCGTGATTTGTGAAACTTTTTTTAGGAATTGCTGATCATTGCCTAAAAATGAGTTCTAATATCTTTTAAATATTCTTTCCATCTTGGTTCAACCACTTATTTTCTGAGGACGATCTTTCACCTTTGCTTTCACGTGACGCCCTGCTGGTTTGTCTTTAGCTGCTTCTCTCCCAGTCATTTTCCACGTGGCAGCTCATTGGAAGCAGCCTGAATAATAGATGAATGGCACAGAGGGGATCATTGCACCCTGTTGGCTGGTAGCGCTCAGCCACACACACGTTGCTAGAGCAAAGTGGGTTCAGTTCCATATTCCTGATACCTCTTTTTTAGATTTTTAAGTAATCTTTTTGTTTAGTGAGGGTAAATATTTTTCATGCGATTAACTGCTCTTTGCCTTTTAGGCTGTTTATGTTGCAGGTTTAGGTCTGGTGTCTTTAAGTAAATAATATAAGTTATACTGTTTTTTTTCTTGATAAAATGAGATGCACACATACCTGCATGTATAAACACACATGTTCATTATGGTTTGCCAACAGGCTGGCAGACTGCAGAGTCTGGCACTGGTGGTTCAGTGTGCATCTTTGTGTGTTAACATGCAGACAGATGGCAGATTAGATGATTTAAGACTTGTCCAGATGAGGTTCTATGTTCATTTATTGTTTTTTTTTCTCCCCCCCCTTTACATGTTCTGTCCATTCACACTGAGGAATCACCCTTTAGTCATTAGAAAGTGCTGTATACAGAATCCGATGCTGCTTCATGTCATGTGTGCTTTGTTTAGAGCCGAGGCTGTAGCTGTGAAATAGGAGCACAGTGGTAATTTTCCCCCTCACTGACGTTGTCGCTGTCTGTCAGTGTGGGTTTTTGATGTTTTGATAGTTTATATTGCCCTCAAGCCATAGATGGATGCATATACTCATTCTGGACCTGTTATTTGGCTTTACACAAATATAACCTTTATTTATAATAAGCATTTAGTTTTAATTACACAAAGGTGAAAAAGGAGATACGATTTAATCGAGGGCTGATCAGAAATCTTCTCTCCTTCAGAACTATAATTACCAACATTGAAAATAGTGTTTTCTTTTTTAGATAAAGTTTTTTTTTTTTTTTAGAAAAAAACAGGAAACAGTCTTTCTGCATCCCTATAAAATACGTGGAAATCCTCCAACTTGTTTAGCAGACATATCTGTAAAAAGAAAACTACAGCATATCTTACATTTACTTCCTCAGTCAGAGGGGATCATATGAATTTTTTTTTCCTACAAGATCCATTAGAAATGAGTAATAAAATAAGTAATAGCAGCATCAAACCTAATATTTGGGAAGAAAAACCTCTGATTTTACTGTTGTATGTCTTTGGTTGTTCAATATTTCATTCATTTATATTGCAAATGTCCGTAGAGATGCTCTGTTTTTGGTTGGATCAGGGACCAGAGGCAACATTACACTGGGTAAAAAAAGGAAGACTCTGTACAGTTAAACAGAATTTAACTGTTATTTAAGAGAAAAAACAGTGATAACCTTAATAATGATGTCAACATTGCTAGAAAGCTTGTTTTATTCCATGAACAATAACTAGGTATTTACATTAACGGGAGGTTTTAAAATACAGTTAGTTGCAAGATGGTTGAGAATCTTCCAGTTTTAGATTCATGTTCAGTTAGACCTTCTGATAACTGCAGCAGCTGGGAATTTATCCAATGCGAATGCAAACTGAACAAAAGAGATTTGCTGAACAATATTAGGTCAGAGGTGTTCCTGTAATAAAAAAATAAATAAAAATCGAAGTATTTAAAATGGCAGAGCAAGTCAAGTTTATTAAAATTGTGATGAATACATGACTTAATGATTGATCGAAGCAATTCTGCAGTAATGGAAGTGGTGTTCATGCCATCTGATGTCAGTCATTGTGGCCGGCTCTAAGCCTGCAGGTTGAATCAGACTAGTCTGCCAGGACTGCCACAAGTTAACTTCTACCGCTTCCTCTGTGCCGGCTGTGTGGCAGTAAGCTGCCTAAGCCTTTCTGCAGGATTAGCCTGTGTAGGAAGGATTAGGACTGGTCCCTATGTGTGCGTGTGTATACGTACAGTACGAGTGTGTGCGTGGTGTACACGTACAGTACGAGTGTGTGCGTGGTGTACAGTAGGTTGGTGGTGTCTGGAAGCCTTCCTCGGTCTGTGTGTGGTGTGTAAATAATTCCCTGTTCTTTCTTAGCATTGCTGCAGACCTCAACATGCCACTCCAGTTGGCCCCCGTTCCTCAGGCCCAGCTGATTATGCTGAGCTCATGACTTTGATTGGCTTTCTTTGTGTCTGATATCCTCTTGTTACTTTACAGAATGAAGAACTGGATAAGAAGTATGCAGGCCTCTTGGAAAAAAAGTGGACCTCAGTCATCAGATTACAAAAGAAGGTTTGTGGGGTTTTTCCTCCTCAAAGAATGCTTCTGGGGATTACGGTCTTGTGAACAGTTCGTGACATTACAGCCGAATGCAGAAAGTAAAAAAAATAAAAAAATCGACAAAACAAGTTTTAAAAATACTTTGTTAGGTAAAAGCTGAAATCTGAACTTCATATCAAGTTGTGTAACCAAACATGTTTTCCCTCCTAAAGATATTTTTATCCTGTTTTGACCTCCCATGTTTTGGTCTGGTGTCAGGTGATGGAGCTTGAATCAAAACTGAATGAAGCTAAAGAAGAAATCACCCTGGGCGGACCCGTCAGTCAGAAGCGTGACCCCAAAGAGTGGATCCCCCGTCCCCCTGAAAGATATGCGCTGAGCGGCCACCGCAATCCTGTCACCCGTGTCATCTTCCACCCGGTCTTCAGCGTCATGGTGTCGGCCTCTGAGGATGCAACAATAAAGGTCAGCGCTTCAGGAAGGAGGTTTTGTTGATGTTAGAGAGTTTTAAGTAGCAATATCCCTCATCAAGAGGGTTTTTTCCCCACCAAGAATTAATGTTGGGTCACAGTCTGATAGATAAGCTAATTTAATTTAATCTGTAGATTTTTCTAGGATGTACATGGTGTTGAATGCAGAATATTTCCCCCGGATTTCTTTTCAGTGAAAAACTTAAATTTTTCCATCATTTTCTGTCTGGTTTCCTTGACAGAAACACTTTTTATTTTTTATTTTTTTTCCCCCCTCCAACAACACAGGATAGCTATTATATGCTTCTCTATGAGGAGACTTCTTATCACAAGACTTTTAAACAGTCTTAGGAGACTATCAAACACACTCAAGTGTCTTATTTTCTAGGGGTGTAAATCACACCCATCATGGTGATTCGATTCAGTATCGATTTCCTGACCCAACAATTCGATTATTTTCGATACTCAAGAATACACCACGATACGATTCGATTAATTGGTTCATTTTTTTTATTTATTTTTTTTTTTTTACCTTACAGGCTAGACAATG